ACTACATATAGTTATGCTTACCAGAACAATTATGTCCATCAGTGTCCAGACTATATCCTGTGTTACAAGAACAAGTATAAGAGCTGAGGGTATTAGTGCAAATTTGGCTACAGTCTCCATTATTCAAAATACATTCATTAGAATCTAAAATTATAATTTAATATGTCAAATACTAAAACTGCTGATTATACCTGTACAGTTGTGACCATTAGCATCAATGAAGTATCCATTAGGACAGGAACAATAATAACTACCATCAGTATCATGACATATTTGTTCACATCCTCCATTATTATTAAGAGTACACTCATCAATATCAGTACAAGTGTGATTATCATTAGTGAGTTGATAACCATTATCACAAGTACATGTATAACTACCAATAGTGTTAGTACATAACTGAGAACAACCTGATGTTCCTTCACTGCACTCATCAATATCTTCATTATAACACAAAAGTAAACAGATACTTATCATTAAATCAAGTATTACCTGAACAAAATTTCTCATTGTATAATCTATAACCAGCATTACAGGAACAACTAAAGAATGGAACTTGATTTGTACAAATCTGTTCACATAAATCTTCAATGTCACATTCATCAATGTCTGCATTTATTAAATTGAATCATTTAGTGTCAATTTGTGATTAAATTACCCGTGCAGTTTCTGTCATTAATCTCTAGATGGTATCCATCATAACAGGAACAACTATAGCTTCCATTAGTATTAGTACAAATATGCTCACAATTTCCATTATCATTAGTACACTCATTGATATCTATAATTGGTATATGAATGATAATAAAAGTTACTTTTAATACCTAAGCAATTATGTTCATCTAAATTTAAAGTGTATCCATCATCACAGTTGCAGTGATAGCTACCAGGAGTATTAACACAGACATATGCACAACCCCCATTATTAATGGAGCATTCATTAATGTCTACATTATTTCAAAAAAACACAAGCATAGAGTCAAAGAATTAGGAAAATATACCTGTGCAATTAACTTGATTACCATCCAATGTGTACCCATTTTCTTGACATGCACATAAATAGCTTCCATTAGTATTTGTACACACATCTTCACAACCTCCATTGTTAACAGAGCATTCATTTATATCTAATGTATGAGGTTGCATATACATTCGGTTAATGCATTAAATTTACCTTGGCATGTATGATAATCATTCATCAGTTGGAAACCAGTGAAACAAGTACAGTAATAGCTTCCAATAGTATTAATACACTGCATATTACAACTGGATAATCCTTCACTACACTCATCAATTTCTAAATATTATAAGGTTAACAATAATAATGATGATACAAGTAACTTACCATCACATGTTCTACCATTACTAGCTAGTCTGTATCCAGAATAACATGTACAATAATAAGAATCATTATGTGTGTGACAAATATGTTCACAAGCATTTGGATTAGCAGCACAATCATTAGGATCACCTAATAAAAGAAACAATTATCTGATGTTAAAAAGTATCATTCAATGGCTAACTTGTACATCCATGCCCATCATCATCAAGAGTATATCCAGTATTACACTGACAATAATAAGATCCAACTTGATTGATACACACTTGACTAC